TCACTGCTGGGGCTCCTCTGGCCCCGCTCCAGCACGTCCCTGTCTCTGCTGTGCTGAGGACTCCAGAGCTGCCCCAGCACTGCAGGGGGGTCTCCTCAGAGCTGGCAGAGGGGCAGGATCCCCTCCCTCAACTTGTGTTTCACCCCCAGCACCCCCAGGGCCTTCTCCCCAGGGCTGCTCTCCAGCCCTGCACCCCCAGCCTGGGCTGACCCAGGGGCAGGCCAGTGATCCTCTGCTGCAGGGTTCAATGCTGCACCACTGTGTCCATTCCCTGGGCTTCAGCTTTTTATCACAGTTCCTGCAAACCAACCTCGAGTTGCTGCCTGAGCCCAGTGGGGTGTAGGACAGGCAGAAGGTCTTGAAGTAGGTCCCACTCTTAGTTTTGCAGGACAGCTGGTTGTCTTTAGCAGAGACAAGGGGATACTGCAGATCAGGCTGGAGAAGGGCCTTGTGGAAAAGCAGACTGTGTTCTACTGGGGTTGTTAAAAATGTGACCAAGGCAAGAACAGAGGATGGTGGTAGGGAGCTTTTGAGGGGCTTGGAATTCTACTGAGTTCAGGTGGGAAGGAGCAGCAGAAGACAGAGGCTGGTTCATGCCTGTGGTGCAAAGGAAGGGCTTGAGCTGTGAATGGTGGAGGGGATCTGGCCTGATCCTGCCTGCAGTGGTGGTTGGGAGTCCCAGCTTCAGGGAGCTGAGAGCTGGGGAGGGGAAGGGGCTCGGCTGTGTGACCTCCCTCCTCCAAAAGCAGCCAAAGAGAGCAGCAGCTCTGCTTGGTCTGAGGATGGTCAGGAGCAATTTGATCAGCTAAAAGCTGGAACTTTCTCCTCACCCCTTTCCTTCTGGCACGGAAGGGGCTGGAGGGGTCACTGCAGGGAGCAGCCACTGCTGGTGTTCCGTTGGGCTATTGATCTGAGCAGCACCTCATTGGTACCTCTGCCTGGGGGGAGCTTTTTCCTGTCCTGCAGGCAGCCCACACTCCATTTCGGGTGGTTCCTGTCCAGTGTGCCTGGGTGTGTTTGGAGGGCAGGTCGATGACTCGGGCGTTCTGGACACAAATGTGAGAGCAGGGACACGCAGCTCTGGGGGGGACTCGCCTCCAGTTGTTGGAAAAGTGGGGAAAAAAGAGAAGTTGAGGCCTGAGCTTGGTTTTTATAACACCTTAAACATACCCAGCCACTGTGGTGGGTGTGAGGATTCCATGGAACTGCTCGTTTCTGAGAAGCTTCCTGGAGTAAGAGACTTTTGCAGATAGAAAACTCATCTCAGAGGTGGTGCAGGAGATGTGTGCTGGTGGGAACACATCAGTGCACTGGGATAACGTGGCTCACACAGGGGATATGTAAGAATTTTTGGGGCTTTTATGCACAAGAGATCTCTGCTGTGAACAGCAGACTCCCTTCATCATCCCAAATCCTTTTTCTCCACAGCAAGGGGAAAATTCCTAGGTTTTATTACCCTAAACTACACTGCTTAGGTGTAGGGGAAGCACTTGCAAGTAAAACTGTCAGTATAGAAGCCACCATATGAGTTCAGAGCATTTGTCCTGAAGAGAAATGGTGTTTTTGACCATGAAGCAGAGCAGCTTTCAGCTTATTTTAGATGGGGTTTGGCAAAATTGAGAGGAAATTGCACGGTGAGTTGAAGGCGAGGAGGATTTCTGAGCTGAGTGGGAGCTGTGAGCTCTTCATAACATGTATGGAGCAAGCAGGCAGCTATTTTTAAATTCCAAAACACAGAGTCTTGCTCTGCTCCACGTGGGGATGCTGCAAGTCAGCCACGTTTGACCTCTCCATTGAACACTTTGTAATTTCTAACCACAGGGGAAGGTGCAGGGGAAACCGCAGGGTGTTTTCCATCCACAGGGCTTGGACAGAGCTGGCTGCAAAATGCAGAGTGGAAACATGAGATTGATTGGAGCCTTAGGATGTGATTGTGCTGGGTCTGTCAAATCCAGCACGTGGAAGTGAGGAACAGGCTTGTCCAGAGCTGTGTGTGTATCCTGGGTAGGAGCAGGTGGAATATTTACTCTGCTTAAGCTCAGCTGTCTGACTTCCAGCCATGAAAGAGCGTGG